TAATATTTCTCTGTATATGAGCAATACTTCTGCCAAACTTTATAGTTAGTAATGAGTTATGAGCGTTTAAGTGATTTTCGGGAGGGGACCTTGTATGGGAGCTATGACCAATTATGGACCGATCGGAAAAAAATTTCACAGTAATATTTCCGCGCATATGTGCAATACTTGTACCAAATTTTATATGGATATCCTAATGTAGTAATGAGTTATGCGCGTTTAAGTGATTTTCGTGAGGGTACCTTGTATGGGAGCTATGACCAATTATGGACCGATCGGAAAAAAATTTCACAGTAATATTTCTGTGCATATGGGTAATTTTTATACCAAATTTTATATGGATATCTTAATTAAGTAATGATTTATGCGCGTTTAAGTGATTTTCGGGAGGGGACCTTGTATAGGAGCTATGACCAATTATGGACCGATCGGAAAAAACTTTCACAGTAATATTTCTATGCATATGGGCAATACTTATACCAAATTTTGTATGGATATCTTAATTTAGTAATGAGTTATGCGCGTTTAAGTGATTTTCGGGAGGGGACCTTGTATGGGAGCTATGACCAATTTTGAACCGATCGGAAAAAATTTTCACAGTAATATTTCTATGTATATGGGCAATACTTATACCAAATTTTATATGGATATCTTAATTAAGTAGTGATTTATGCGCGTTTAAGTGATTTTCGCGATGGGACCTTGTATGGGAGCTATGACCAATTATGGACCGATCGGAAAAACCTTTCACAGTAATATTTCTATGCATATGGGCAATACTTATTCCAAATTTTATATGGATATCTTAATTTAGTAATGAGTTATGCGCGTTTAAGTGATTTTCGGGAGGGGACCTTGTATGGGAGCTATGACCAATTATGGACCGATCGGAAAAAACTTTCACAGTAATATTTCTGTGCATATGGGCAATACTTATACCAAATTTTATATGGATATCTTAATTTAGTAATGAGTTATGCGCGTTTAAGTGATTTTCGGGAGGGGACCTTGTATGGGAGCTATGACCAATTATGGACCGATCGGAAAAAACTTTCACAGTAATATTTCTATGCATATGGGCAATATTTATACCAAATTTTGTATGGATATCTTAATTTAGTAATGAGTTATGCACGTTTAAGTGATTTTCGGGAGGGGACCTTGTATGGGAGCTATGACCAATTTTGAACCAATCGGAAAAAATTTTCACAGTAATATTTCTATGCATATGGGCAATACTTATACCAAATTTTATATGGATATCTTAATTTAGTAATGAGTTATGCGCGTTTAAGTGATTTTCGGGAGGGGACCTTGTATGGGAGCTATGTCCAATTATGGACCGATCCAGAAAATGTTTCTCTGAAAGAATTCTATTGATATAAGATTTTAATTTGTAAAATTTTGTGAAGATATCGACATTGTGATGGAAGTTATTAACGAAAAACCCATTTTCCGGGAATATGTACTTTTGTATGGGAGGTATATGAAATTGTGGACCGATTCTGGCAATTTTCTGCACGAATCAAGATCTTGTGTAGAAACGAATGTATGGTGATTTTCATGGAATTATCTTGCATAGTTTTGGAGAAAAATACATTAGAATGTGTAAAAAATGCTTATTTTTTTCGAGGTTGAATGTTTATTTTTTTACACCCTCCACCACCATCAGTGGTGATAGAGGGTATATATAAGTTTGTCATTCCGTGTGTAACACCAAGAAATATTCATCTGAGACCCAACAAAGTATATATATTCTGGGTCCTTATGAAATTCTGAGTCGATTTAGCTATGTCCGTCTGTCCGTCCGTCCGTCCGTCTGTCTGTCTGTGTAAAACACGCTCACGTTAAAACGAAGCAATATAATTTAACCAAATTCACCCAAAACATTCATTATTATCCGGTACAGTTTGGTATTGAAAATCAGCAAAATCGGTTCACATCGGGAAAAGTTATGAATCAAAATTTAAAACAACCTCGAAAAAAATAAGCATTTTTTACACATTCTGATGTAATTTTCTTGAAAACTATGCAAGATAATTCCATGAAAATCACCATACATTCGTTTCTAGACAAGATCTTGATCCCTGCTGAAAATTGCTAGAATCGGTCCACAATTTCATATACCTCCCATACAAAAGTACATATTCCCGGAAAATGGGTTTTTTGCTAATAACTACCGTCTCAATGAAGATATCTTCACAAAATTTTACAGATTAAAATGTCCCCTCTCGAAAATCACTTAAACGTGCATAACTCATTACTAAATTAAGATATCCATGTAAAATTTGGTACAAGTATTGCCCGTATGCCTAGAAATATTGCTGTGAAAGTTTTTTCCGATCGGTCCATAATTGGTCATAGCTCCCATACAAGGTACCCTCCCGAAAATCACTTAAATGCGCATAACTCATTACTAAATTAAGATATCCATATAAAATTTGATACAAGTATTACTCATATGCATAGAAATATTACTGTGAAAGTTTTTTCCGATCGGTCCATAATTGGTCATAGCTCCCGTACAAGGTCCCCTCCCGAAAATCACTTAAACGCACATAACTCATTACAAAATTAAGATATCCATATAAAATTTGGTATAAGTATTGCCCATATGCATAGAAATATTACTGTGAAAGTTTTTTCCTATTGGTCCATAATTGGCCATAGCTCCCATACAAGGTCCCCTCCCGAAAATCACTTAAACGCGTATAACTCATTATTAAATTAAGATATCCATATAAAATTTGGTATAAGTATTGCCCGTATACATAAAAATATTACTGTGAAAGTTTTTTCCGATCGGTCCAATATTGGTCATAGCTCCCATACAAGGTCCCCTCCCGAAAATCACTTAAACGTACATAACTCATTACAAAATTAAGATATCCATATAAAATTTGGTACAAGTATTGCCCATATGCATAGAAATATTACTGTGAAAGTTTTTTCCGATTGGTCCATAATTGGTCATAGCTCCCATACAAGGTCCCCTCCCGAAAATCACTTAAACGCGTATAACTCATTATTAAATTAAGATATCCATATAAAATTTGGTATAAGTATTGCTCGTATGCATAAAAATATTACTGTGAAAGTTTTTTCCGATCGGTCCATAATTGGGCATAGCTCCCATACAAGGTCCCCTCCCGAAAATCACTTAAACGCACATAACTCATCACAAAATTAAAATATCCATATAAAATTTTGTATAAGTATTACTCAAATGCACAAAAATATTACTGTGAAATTTTTTTCGATCGGTTCATAATTGGTCATAGCTCCCATACAAGGTCCCCTTCCCAAATCACTTAAACGCACATAACTCATTACTAAATTAGGATATCCATATAAAATATTACTACGAAAGTTTTTTGCGATCGGACCATAACTGGTCATAGCTCCCATACAAGGTCCCCTCCGAAAATCACTTAAACGCACATAACTCATTACTAAATTAAGATATCCATATAAAGTTTGGCAGAAGTATTGCTCATATACAGAGAATTATTACTGTGAAATTGTCACAGCTGCTACAGAAAAACACTTAAAGGCACATAACTCATTACCAAATAGTGATATAAATAAATACTATTTTTATACATAAATACGATTTTTGTACACATAAATGTTAAATTTTTTAACGATCGGTATATCCTTGTTCATAGTTCTATATAAGGTTCACTCCCGAAAATCACTTAAACGCACATAACTCATTACCAAATATTGATATCCATACATTTAGCAAAATCATTGCTCTTATATACATAAATTACACTATAAAATTGTTTTACGATCGGTCCATATTTGGTCATAGCTCTCATACTAGGTCCTCTCCAGAAAATCACTTAAATGCACAGTATTTATTACCAAATAATGATGTAGATACAGAATTTTAAAATTTTGTCTTTATATACATAATTGGTCATAGCTCCCATACAAAGTCCTTTTACGAAAATCTCTTAAACGCACACTACTCATTACCAAATAAAGCTATTGATACAAAATTTGGCACAAATCTTTGTTTTGTATACAAAAATTCTATTTCAAGATTTTTTCACGATCGGTTCATAACATGGGTGCGGTCGGTCCCATAAAAGGTTCCCTTCAGAAAATCACTTAAACACACATTACTTATTACTAAATTACGATATAGATACAAAATTTGACTGAAATATAGCTTTTATGTACAGAAATTTAGCTTACAGAATTTTTTACGATCGGTCTATATTTGGTCATATCTCACATAGTAGGTCCTGCCCCTAAAAGCGCTTTAGCCGTGTTTAACTAGTTGCATTATCAATTTGTGTAGAACAAAATTATATATATGTATTTTGAAAATCCTTAAATCTTTCACACACACATGCATACATACAAATTACTAAATATTGCTAAGCGCTATAAAAATATAAAAGAAAATGGCGTTTGTAATGTTCAATAAATCTTGGAATCGTAGTAGATTTAAGTTGTTTAAATCTTGGTATTTTTCTATTTAAGACATGAGAAAACTTATTTCTACAAATATTTGATCAATTAGAAAAGTATTAATATAAAAGTAGCTGGTGGAGGGTATTTAAGATTCGGCTCAGCCGAATATAGTTCTCTAACTTGTTTTATTGTCAAGTCGCTGCTAGCCAGTCACCAAACTCTTCTGCAGTATCGACGTCATCACTTACTAACAAAAGCAACAAACGCATCTCATCTATAAAGTTCTCATCAATTCACCTCTCATTGTCATTTACCCCTTGCCATTGCTTAAAAATACTTTTTCAGCATCTCACGTAAGTAGGAGAAGTATTTGTTTTAGTTCTTCTCTCATCGTTTTATTTGAGTTTTTTCCATATTAGCAAGATACCAGTACATACACACACACACATATATTGATTATTATCAGTGTTGGACTATGCATCAGTGTTGAACTTTTTTATATCATTCGGTACATTTTTTGTTAACGTTAGTGCCTTTGGTATTTTTATGTACAATTTGGTGCAATTTTATTAATGGAAGACCAAGAACCACAAATTAGCACAATAAAGCCAGCAAATATGGATTTAGCATCGTTAAAGGTACAACGAAGTACAATGAAACGGAATATTAGCAAATTGAAGTCAAAGGTAGAAAAAGAAGGGACATCATCTGATTATACAATAATTAAGTGTCGACTTCAAATGCTAGAATCGTATTTTACTCAACTCAGTCATATACAAACACAAACTGAGCGCCATGATGTAGGAGACGAATCACGTTCTGAATTAGAAGAACTCTTCGTACAGGCCAAAGCTTATATGATTGACTTATTATATAAAAAACGACGATCTAGCGATATGGACTTAAGCATTTTAAATACGACAAGCTCATCGTTTTCACACCAAAGTCGATTACCTGAGCTCAAACTCCCGAATTTCAATGGCAAATATTCAGAGTATTCTCGTTTCATAAGCACCTTTAATACTTTGGTTCATGAAGAGCCATGCATTCCAACCATAGATAAATTTAATTATCTTTTGAACTGCCTTAGTGGCCCAGCACTTTCTGTTGTAGAAGCCTTTCAGATTGTTGAAGAAAATTATCAAAAGGCCTTGGATAGATTGAAAGAAAGATATGATAACAAAACTTTAATATTTTTGACAACATAAACTCATTGTTTTCAATATCACCAATTAACAAACCAAGTGCTACAGCTTTACGTTCAATTTTAGATAATGTTGCTGCTCTGAGGAGTTCGTTGCTGTCTTTAGGTTCCGAATTGGACGTGATGAACGCTTTACTAATACATATCGTCTTATCAAAAGTAGATTCAGCATCAAAATCAGTATATGATGAAAAAAAATTTAAACCAACTGCCTTCATGGGATGAATTTTATTCTATTATGAGCCGTAGATGCCAATTTCTTGAAAGTCGCGCTACAGAAGTCGAATCATTTCATGGTTACGATCAAAAATCTATACATAAATTTAAACGACCTGGTTCTTCATTTATAACATCGAGTATCTCATGCGAATATTGTCATAACAAAGATCATTTTATCAGCAGTTGCTCTTCATATCTATCGCTACCTATTTCTCGTCGATTTGATTTTGTAAAATCTACAAAATTATGCATAAACTGTCTTCGAAAAGGACATATCGTAGCAAATTGTGAATCAAAATCGCGTTGTCGCACTTGTCGTGTTTCGCATCATTCATCTCTACATAATCCAAGTTATCAAACTTCAAATGAGCCTCACCATTCATCGAATTCATCCCACCAAAATCATTCGTCATCGAATTTATCGTCTTTGCAACCTTCATCGACTTCGTTTTTACATCAAAGTAACCAGAATCATAAGCCTTCGACATCGCAACATTCATCAATCTCGAATCAACCCAAATCAAATGATAATTCTTCGTCATTACAAACTTCTTCGTCGTCATTCTCTCATCAAAGAAATCAATCATCGTCAAATTCAACAAATAATTCATCGGTTATTCATTTAACAACTCAGTCTTCGTTTCTCACTAGAAATTGTCGTCGAACTTTGCTCCCAACAGCCATTGTATACGTCAAAGATAGTTTTGGCACACTACAACCGGTCCGAGCCCTTTTAGATTCTTGTTCGGAGGTAAATTTAATTACTCAAGAGACCGTTAGTCGACTTCGACTACAACAAACTAAATCCAATCAAGAGATAGCAGGAGTTTCAGAAATTCGAACTCAATTAAAATACAAAGTAACTGCTACTATCAAATCTCGACTATCAGACTTTGAATTTACCTCAATATTTGCTGTGACTAAATCGATTTCTTCACTCCAACCTTCAGAACGTTTTGACACAAGCAATTGGAACCTTCCTGATGGAATAGATCTTGCAGATCCACAGTTCTATTTACCTAAACATATCGATTTATTACTTAGTGCCGAAATATTCTTTGATCTTTTACTAGACGGCAAGATTTCTCTTGGCGAAGGACTTCCATGTTTGATAAACACAAAATTTGGTTGGATAGTTGGTGGAAATTTCGAATCTCTACAACATAATCGAGTAGTGTCTGTAACGTTGTTACAAATTATGAAGAATTGGATTCAATGCTAAAGGCCTTTTGGGAGATCGAAGAAATCTCACAAAAGAAAACCCTCCTAACCGAAGAAGAAAATCTGTGTGAAATGCATTTTGTTGAAAATACAGTGTTTGATGAAAGTGAAAGAGTAAAAGTGCGTTTGCCGTTCAAGTCTTCCGTAAACAAACTTGGAAATTCGTTTGAAGTAGCTCGTCGCCGTTTTCTATACCTAGAAAAACGTTTTTCAAAAGATGAATCTTTGCACAAAATGTACACAGACTTTATGAATGAATATATTAATCTCGGACATATGTCAATTGTGAATTATGATGTCTTAAATCAACCCCATTACATTATACCACACCATTCAGTTTTACGCCCACAAAGTTCATCAACAAAACTACGAGTTGTCTTCGATGCGTCATCTCCTACCTCAACCAATGTTTCATTAAATGATATTTTAATGGTTGGTCCAACCATACAAGAAGACCTCATAATAACTATTCTTGCTTTTCATCTTAATAGGTTTGCTTTGTCCGCAGATATTTGCAAAATGTACAGGCAGTTTCTTGTAGATGAAAATGATCGCAATTTTCAACTTGTTTTGTGGAGAGATAACACCAATGATTGAATTAACATTTATCGACTAAATACGGTGACTTACGGTACATCTGCTGCACCTTTTCTTGCAATAAGAAGTTTGTTTTTCATCGCGGATGCTTATAATCATAAATTTCCTATCGGTTCTAAAGTTTTAAAGCAAGATCTGTATGTAGACGATCTGCTTACGGGGGCAGCAAATATTTTCGAACTTTCAGCCAAAAAAGCTGAAATTATCCAAATCTTAGAAGAGTCTGGTCTACAATTAACGAAATGGAGTTCCAACTGTCCTCAATTAGCTCAATGTGCAGAAGAAATGGATTTAAAGACTAATAATGAAAACATAACTAGAGCTCTTGGAATGTCTTGGAAACCTAACGAAGATCTATTTTGCTTTCGATTTAATTTACCGACTGTTGAAGTTCCTACCAAACGATCAGTATTATCCGTAATAGCCAGAATTTTTGATATTTTGGGACTTTTAAGCCCAATTGTGATTTCATGTAAAATCTTAATTCAAGAATTATGGAAACAACAAATTGAATGGGATTCACCTCTAAATGAACATTTAAAAGGTCGTTGGATTCAAATCGAGAAAAGCTTACCATATATAAACCAAATTGAATTACCTAGATTTGTACAAACAAATCCAGATGTTAAATTCGATATACATGGTTTCGCTGATGCCTCTCAATTAGCATAAGGATGCTGTATATAAAAGTGGCACCTGTAGTACAACAATCTTTACCCAGGTTAGAATTGTGCGCTGCTCTGTTATTGTGTCGAACATGGGATAAAATAAAACATAAATTTGACTCCTACTCTTATCGTATATTTTTTTGGTCAGATTCAAAAATCGTTTTAAACTGGCTCACAAACCATTCATTGTCTCTTGTGTGTTTCGTCGCTAATCGTGTCTCAGAAATTCAAAATACTTCTCACAATATACCTTGGAGATACGTCCCATCGAAACAAAATCCAGCAGATATAGTATCTCGTGGGTGTCTCGCTAATGAAATAACGTCAACAATGTGGTTCAGTGGACCTGAATTTTTAAAAAAAGGAAGATAAGGATTGGCCTCAAAACACCAATATTGAAACTGCTCTTCCACCAGAAGAAATGAGAAAGTCTTCGTTTAACACAACTATTGTAGTAAAATCTATAATTTCGCAAATCATCACTAGTCAGTCGTCGTATCTTCGTATTCTACACATCATTATTTACATTCATCGCTTTTTTCACAAATCTAAACGGAACTCATTTATATCGTCAGAGGAATTGCAACTCGCATTCTGGAAAGTCATCCATGATATTCAATCAACAACATTTAAAGATGAAATCGATATTCTTCGAAATGTACAAATTTTAAAACCATGTTTCCAAAAGTTATCGCCTTTTTTACATGAAATTCGTAGTTACAAAACAACATTAGTAATTCTAAGAGTTGGTGGCAGGCTAGCAAATTCATCGCTGTCGTATGATACCAAGTTTCCAGCACTTCTTCCAAAAGATCATCATTTTACAACCTTATATATCAAATATCTTCATCTAAAGCATTTGCACGGGGGTCCAAAGGCTCTACTAGGAATTGTTCGACAACAAATCTGGATTGTAAATGGTAGAGATATCGTTAGAAAAGTGGTTCGCATCTGTGTCCACTGTTTCAAATATAAGCCTCGACTCATGCAACAAATCATGGGAGATCTTCCAGCCGATCGTTTAAAAGCTCAACGTCCTTTCCTAGTTTGCGGTGTTGATTTTTTCTGTGGACCATTCTACATATCGTACAGAATTAGAGGGAAGCCACCATACAAAACTTACGTAGCAATTTTTGTTTGCTTCGCATCCAATGCGACTCATATCGAAGTAGTCTCAGACTTATCTACTAATACGTTTCTTTTGTGCTTAAAAAGATTTATAGGTAGACGTGGTATACCTTTGCGTTTGTACTGTGACAACGCGACAAACTTCGTTGGCGCTAACTTTAAACTTCAAGAATTTAAACAACATTTTTTCAACGATGATAACGTTAAATCTTTAATGCACTACAGTGAAGTCACAGGTTTCAAATTTGTATTCATCCCTCCCCGATCACTGCATTTTGGAGGCCTTTGGGAATCAGCTGTGAAATCTACAAAAAATATTCTAGTCAAAAACATGTCCAAAGCTGGTGTCACCTATGAAGAATTTCAAACCATTTTAATTGAAGTAGAAGCTATATTAAACTCACGGCCCTTAACACCTAGATCTGACGATCCTAATGATGAGGAAGCTCTAAGCCCTGCCCATCTGATTATTGGTTCCTCTTTATTGTCTCTACTGGACGAAAACTTAACAGATTGTAAAAACTTAAATTATTTAAAATGTTGGCAATTGGTGACATATTTAAAACAACAATTTTGGGTAAAATGGCTTCGCGACTATGTTTTAAATCTTCAACAAAAATCTAAGTGGTTTAAACCATGTGCTAACATTGAAGAAGGACGATTGGTTATTGTACACGAAGATAATATACCACCACAGCATTGGGTTCTTGCTCGTGTCGTAAAAGCCATCCCTGGACGTGATGGAAAAATCCGTGTTGTAGATGTCAAGACTTCAAAAGGCATATATCAAAGGGCAATTAAAAAAATTGCTCCACTTCCTGTTGACGAAGATGATTGAAAGTGCCCTTTCAATGGGGGCAGTATGTTCAGTCATAATAACTTTCATCCTAAATTTGAAAGTTATTTTATAAATATTAAACTTAAAATGAATACTTTCATTTTACTTACTAATGTAAATATTGATTTGACTCTTTTAACTATCTTTATTTACTTTACAATAATCTAATATTCGATTACTTTGTTTTCATTGTACACTAATTTGTTCTCTTTTGCTGAATTCATAACTGTAATTTGTTATTTACTTGTTCTTTAAACTTTAACTTTAGCCATGGCATTAGTATATATAAATGTAAATTATTCATTCCTTTTGTATCATTAAAACGATCAACAA